TTTGCTTCTCAGTTCGGTACACGTTTTGGCGATTTTGTGACGAAAATTAGCAAGTCCATAGCTGCGATTTCGCAACGAGTGTCGCTCTGTTCATATTTGGCAAATTTCACGAAAAATCTTTAATTGGTGATCATTTTCCGTGATAATTTTATTTTTGACGACCAACGTTTTACGACAGGGAAATCGATCATTTTCATTTTCAAAACGTGATATTTATGGCATACATACATATGTAGGTATGAAATGTATGAAAATTTCGTCAAACAAACCATAATAATCAAAAACAAGAGGAGGAGGAGAGTGGAAAACTAAATGAAAATTACGAAATTAATTATTTTTCAGCTAGTAAAACTGAATTTCGATTGACATTAGTGGTTGTGTGTGTCTTTGAGGAAACAACGTGCCTTTAAGTGAAATTTGGCAACTTTTTGGCCAACAGCAGCGTTTCTCACTAAAACGAATAACAAAACTATACTTGTTATAAAAGTATGCACAAGCAAGCCTCTATTTAACAATTTAGCGGATCATGAGTGATGTATGCATTGCTTGTCATTACCATAGTTTTGTAAATGTCCAATTACCTTACAAATGCATGTGTTATGTACTTGTCTGTATACTTGTCTGAAGGTAATAGTATTACCTTCACCTACCAGTATCACCTACGAGTATTATTACCGTAATACTCGTGCCCTGCTGTTACGTACCCGATTTTGGTAAATATTTGCACACTAAGGATAAGAAATATGGTGACGGTGATAACCAGTAAGTAAGCATCTTTACCGGCTATTTACTGCTTAGCTAATTTAGAGCATCACACATAGTTATATACATGTTTACTAAGTATCTCTCCTGATTTAATCTACTCTGAGGCTGCTTACTGCAATCTATTAAACTACGTAAAGTTGTTTAGAGTTGTAACAGCGTGTGGACTACCCTGTTTTTTCGCGCATCTTTTATTTCTGCTTTCTGCTACATCGTGAATTAATAAATCCGGCGTACAAATTATACATAAAAGCATATCATTCATTTATTTTTTGCATATTCGTGTGGTACCCCCTCTCCTAAGTCCGCCTTTATGTTATGGACATGTACGTATACGTATAGAATTTGCACTCACACATTTAAAACGTGCGTCAGTTTATAATTACGATTCATGTGTAATCATTTTTTTTATTATTTTCCAACAAATTTTTATGAATGTAAAATTAGCTAATTACGGTTACAAACTATTTCAGCCACTGTAGCAGCAACGACAAGCGTGTCTTCGGTGACAAGAACTTCCTATAATATCGAGGTCGTGTCTACGCCGTCGTCATCCGACAATAATGTGAACTTACGTACGAAACTAATCTACTGCTCGGCAGAATTTATGCAACGTACGAATCAGAATATATGTGCGTGGTGCATATATTTTTAATATTATTTATAGCTTCGCTGAACAAAGCGGCACAGCTATCTACTTAAAACGCCAACAGACTTGTGTTGGTTCAACAGAAGATAAGGAAGGCGATACAAGAAATACAAGGGGCAAAAGAAGCAGAGATTTGTGCTTAGATTCATGACAGACAACAAGGCAAGGTCTGTTTATTAATATCCAATAATTTCAATCAGCTTTATTCACCATTTAAAATTTTTAGAAACTAATCGAAAAAATGCAACTAATGCTATGGAGATAACTCTCAGCCGTAGAAGGAAGATCCACGATCCGAACTTGGAGAGTTGAACTTGACGAGTTGATAATCCAGGGAGCCGACAACACAGTTCAAGATACTGGTTAGTTTTATTTGTATTTACCATACTTATCAAGCTTGCTGTATGTACTTAATTACAATTAATTTACAGGATAGTCGATTTATCACTACCGGGATGGTGATAATTAGGTCCATCTTTGTCTCTGTTATCTATTCATAACTATGAATTAATAAATTGGTTGTCTTTGTCAACATGTACCATTTCGTCTGGTAGTTTGTGGTGTATTCATTACAAAAGAGTCTCCTCTTCTTCTGCATTCTGTCTGAGCGGAACCAACTGCATGCCCTCCTCCTCCTGCGTATCATATATCCTCCGCTCGTGACTTCCCCCCCGTCGCCTCTCTCATCTTTTGTACACGTAACCAGCAACAGCAGCTGCAGCCAAGATAATACACAGGATTACGACGACGGGAGCTATACGGTTACATACTATGTATAATAGTAACCCGATTTCTTGGAGATTTGTTAATTTGCGAGGAACGTGCTGATATTACTTTTAAGATGGAACAAAGACTCTACATATTCTGTTGCTCCGATGATTACGTTTACTTTGTGGTATAATCGAACCATATTTCTTATTTCAATGTGTCTGTATGTATATGTCTGTATATGCAGGACCTAATCGACAAATGTGGCCACGACGCGGAGGATACGACCATGAGACGACCAACGTCTCTGATTCTTGAGAAACTTGCAGATCCAACATTAGTTAAGAAGCATCCTTATCAGGAACATATAATACAGGCTGCCAATAACATTATTGAAGATACAGGTAGGTTTATTTTAAATTATTGCATTAATTATCTGGTCATGGAAAATTAAGTTTTATTAATTAATGTGTAATAAATATGGTGTTTAAACGCTCTCCTCTTCTTCCTCTACATTATAAAGCTGCACCAACTGCATTGAGGCATTATTCGTTGGTTGGAGTCGGTTTCCTCTCCCTCGTCTTTGTCTTTTGTATATATAGCCACCAGCTGCAGTAGCTGCAGCCAAGATGAGACATAGGCAGCCACAAAATAAACAAATGATTTCCAGACCCATCCTCCTTCGGATTTTGGTGGGGTTGGACACTCGTCGAGAAATGCAACCACCCTCTTGGAATAAATTACAGGGAGAGCTTCAAACTCTGGGAAGCACAGTGTGGAATCGTTCTGCATAATGCCGAAAGAATTTAGCGAGGCGGTGAGACACGAGATGCAATCCATGATACTAAGCAGCGAATATATGCGTATGTCCGCCTTCTATGATTGTGCGTTGCGATCAAGTTATCTGAATATGTAGATCTTCCATTAATTACATTAGTTACATTTTCTACCTTGTGGAGGGGAGAATATTTCATGGACGACGACGACGATAGTGAAAGTATTATGTTGCCAGTGTTATGTTCTCATCCTCTCGATTATGCTCGCCTGGGGCGAGCCTCGCCAAAAGCAGCTAGAAAAAGAGAAAGGAGCGTCGCCATTAATCGGGGCAGCAGCAGCAACAGCACGAGTTGGAGAGGAGAAAATTGGATAAAAATTAACAAATAAATTGTTTTTAACCCAGAAAGACCGATTTTCAAGTGAAATTCGTGCTTGTGGTTGCCTTTGTGCAGGAGAAGCGACTTCGTGTGCAATTTGTCAACTTTCTTGGCCAGCAGGAGCTTCTGTGCGAGTGACAAAGGTGACTTTTTATAAATGTGCACGGGATTTGACGTGTTTGGTTATTGTGTATAATTTATTTGGCAACTTTTTTGGCCAACACCAGTTTGTGGGAGTGACAAAATTAACTTTACAAAAGTGCACAGGAAGTTTGTTTTTAGTGCATAATTTACAAACTTTGTGAATCGGCTCATGAGTAAGGTAGGTAATCCTTATTTTTATCCCAATTTATCCAATTTTGCAAACATTCAGTTTCCTTGCGAAATGTTTACGAAATATCTGTTTGTATCGGATAGGCAATGGCGTGTGGCGATCCTTATGATCAGCCCTGCGATTTCTTCTTGGATGTTGGTACATATTTGCACACTACGAAATATAACTATAACTCGCCGTGAATATTACCCTTTATTCGCGGAGCTATTTACGCTTACGTACTGTGTGTAATTGTAAGCAGATTTCTTAGAGACTTGCTAATGTGCGGTTGACGTAAGGCTGTTAGATTTAAGATGTTGATATGTGCAAAGACTCTAAGCAATATGGTTCCGATTATACTAGAAAATAAACGTATGTGATTCTTTTGACTTTATTATACCGTTTACTAACTGTATAGTGGGAACCAAATTTCTTAGATAGTATCGAGCTTGAGTTCATCGATCCATTTATCCACGGCATTGATTGTGAATAAGTAATCATTCCTTTCTATGTGTTTCAGCACATTATTAGTTATGCAGTATTTATTCTATCAATTGTTTCAGGAAATTCGCACAGTTGCAGAGTGGGAGATGCAGGCCGCAGCGATCAGGATGGACCTGAAGACGGCCGTGATGAAGAGGACGACTGATTGGACGCCGACGACGACCAATAAGCAGCGTAAAAAGGTGACGAAGCTTCAATACCGTATCACCCCTGTGGAGGAAAAGAACTCTAAATTGTGTATGTATTGTGTATCACTCATTCGCATCATTCGCATAATGAATGTATATGCAAATAGAGTTGTTGTATGTTGCAAATATTATTATTAGGTCCGAACCAATTATTTGTCCTTGTCACCGCCCTCAACAGAGCGCAACGACTCAAGACGTATGCTACGCCGCTGTACGGTTTTTGTCGGGTAATTTTATATCAGGTTCAAATACCTCTTTGAACAAGAATGGAAAGAGGGAAGGACGTGGGTGTATCGAAAATATTTTCGTGTTCTAGGATGCATATGTAATCTGACTAGACGTAGTGCACAAGTAAGAAAAAGCATTTGTTTGTCTCCCTTAATTTTCTGAGCAGAGCGGAACAGCAAACGTCTGAGCATCAAAAATGGACTAATTTTCAATTCGCATGAAAAAATAACCTCTCTTAATGCGCAATCCATACCTGATAGTTACATAACCAGGTAGCTAGAGACAAAATTCTCAAAGGTCCCAGGATTCAGGCAGTTCAAGAGGAAACAAAGAAGAAGATGCAGAACAACTTATATGTTAGGAAGCAAAGGAGAAAAGACCTTCCAAAAATCAAGACTGACAAGATTGTAAGGTCTCTATAATAATTTGTACTAATAATTTTTCCTACTAATTTCTAATGATCAAACTCCAGTCTGATCAATATTTTATGCTAATAAATTGTATTTGAGGAGAAATAAATACCCATCCGGCAATCAACGCATAGGATCTAATTCCACCCGCACCATAAATTCCATGGCAAAAGACGGAAAAACATGGTAATGATTTTACATTCAAAAACCTAAGCCGAATTTAATTTAATTAAAATTGGGTTCTTTAGAACCAAACTAACTAACCCAACTAAACTAATTAAGCTAAAAATATCTCCTCTTCAATGAAAACTCAGCCCATATGCAGCACTGTTTTAAAAATTTACAGCTTTGTGTAAAATCAGAAATTAATAAAATTACTACTCTACCCTCCATGAATTAGTCAAAGATTTCCAAAATAGAGCACAGTGTTGCAAAGAGACCTGTAGCAAGATTTAATATTAGTGGCAAGGAACGAAAAATTGACAACAACAATGATTGCATAATAAGAAAGTAGTAGATGTGGGTGTTGGAAGGATAAGGCAAATGATTGCTCGCAGGCAGATTTTAAAGGCGATAATGATAACTCAAACATATTTAGTACCTGAAGATACTACTGCCGCCCCTACGCCTCGCTTCCTGAGTCAGAAAATCAAATCAAAGAAGAAGATAAACTTGACAACAATTCGCCAGTTTCATCATTTATTAATCGCGAGCAAATAGCATCAATTCCTAACGATGAATTTGACAACACTTCTGGATCAATACATCCATCACAAGACTTAGGATTACATGTCCAACTTTCCATCAGAGATGAGAAACCGCAAATAAACATTAATCAAGTGCATGATTTGCTGTCTGGGCAACCAGTTAAAGTACATAGCCAAGGTTTGCATATTATTTGTGTCAGGAGTGGTCGACCGAAGCGAAAATGCACTACACCCGGTGTAGATCTTTCAACTCCCTTACAACAACCCTCACAACTTCCAGTAAAGCGGAATTAACCTAAAAGTATTATGAAATAGTATGATTAAATAATTTCAGTTGAAATGTCAAGCTATGATATAATTCGAAAAAAGGCAAACGAAGCTCTAATAGCCTCAAATGATATTCCAACAAGAGTAGAGCAGTTACACTTCAAACCATCATATTTAGGCAGGTTAACCTAGATAGCATAACAAGATCTCAGCAATTACATAACGTACAATGAGCCAGTATCCAATCGGCGACTGTAACATGGATTACACAGCCATGCTACTTATTTACAGGTATTGAGTACGCTATCCATGACGCAACTAATTATTATTGATTGACGTATTTAATTATAGATACTCAAGATTCATTTGATCCAGATAAGCCAATAGGCGAGGATATATAATACAAATATCCTGTCATTAGCATTCCCTAACATTTGATACATACATTAACTCAAAAGAAAGGTGAAAAGACATGCCTATGTGTACATATGCAGATCTAACTTTTGGTTCCTTATAGGAGGAGACGCGGACGTCAACTAAATATGTGTGGTTTCAATACATAGATAAAGTGAAAAGGACTATTAGGTTTTACGATTTCAACAGCTAGTATCCTAATTCTCGCTGTGCTGTAACTAGCAAAACTTAACAAGCTCCGAATATCGTGAGATTTTAAAACAATGAGGATTAATTTTTAAGAATTATTTTAAGAGGTTGATATTTATAATCAAATTATAAGTACAGTCAGCAAAAAAGCAAATAAACATTTACATATTTTTTATTATGGTATGATCCCGTGCATTTTGAAATTCTGCACGCAGTTGTATAAACTAATTGACGAATAATTCCGTGCCGCCGATTTTTATGGTCACGGGAAGGTCAAATGTTAGAACTTTTTTACATCACTGCGCGCGGAATTTCAAATTGCTAAGGGCACGGGATCTAACCGTAATAAAAACTACTTAAAGCTGTATTCACTTTTTTTTGCTCCCTGTGCGTATAGGATTTAAAGAATTTTTACGATATCATAGAAAGATTGTCATAATTAAAATCTACAGTAGTGGAATTAGGTGCTATTTTAGATAAAGAAACACATATGTATCACATGCATACATTTGTTCGTAAATATTTGTGGTAATAACCTAGTTGAAAATGGAAGATAACAGATTACTTGTTGCAGCGGGGACTGGATAATGTTGCAGATTTATTATGACGGAGGGTGGTCCAAATTGCTGTAGCGATGACGTATGTATGGTTGAACTGGCAAGTAAATATTTTGCACTCCGATGATTACGGATGAGGTATGTACAAATCCCCAGTCAGACATGGCTAAGCGATGCGCGCGAAGGTTTACCTGCGACATAAACAGACAATAAAATAATGGGCATTATTTAAAAAATGTTGCGATATAGGATAAATATTAAAGAAGAAATAATTTGTTATCATGATTGACCTGGTAAAAACTGGGACGGTTAAAAATATATCATAACATAATATTAAGGAAACCCATACTATCAAATTTACCCCGCCTAATGGTGCATTAAAAAATGTTGCAATTAAAATGTACAAAATATAGTAACTATGGCCTCATCTAGAAAAAAAACATACGCAAATTACCGCGCTCGCTTTGCGATGTTGCAACACTTTAAAGGAGCAGTAAAAAATAGACGAATTTTCTTACCTCGGGGAAGTAAAATCGTTGCGACGTTTAACATCACAGATCCTGGAATTTAGGTTGGTATAAAGAGATGGCGCAATTATGTAATTGAAAGATGGTGGATTTTCTGAAAAATGCAGGCATTTTAAATTTTGAAATCGAAACAGTATTCATTTGTAGCCAATTTTCAGAACCAAATTTATTTTTATTTGTCAAGGCTTACGACTTTGAGCAATGTGTACGTATTTAAAACGCTATTGAATTTAATGAATGCATATCAATTAAATATACGATTGTACATGTTTACTTTGCTTGAAAGTGCATTATTGAATTTAATGGATACTTAAATACTTAAAGACTGAATTGATAAACTGATTCCTCCATTTAATTTTTGCTATATATACATATGCACAAACATACATAAAATACAATTTAATAACTAAAAATTATTTCTTATTTATTTAAGACAAATTAGCACCAACTAAATTAATTAATTAATTATTTACCAATTTGTCTGCTCCAATTTTGCATAAAAGATACCCATCTTGTGCTTATTTTGTTTTATGTAACTTCACAGCACTCAGATAAAATTATTTTAAATTCGATAAAATACTTTGTTGAAATGGAATTTAAATTCAATCTTTGTGATATTTTCTACTTTACTTGAAGGAGCTTGGAATAGAAATGCGAAAGAAATGCGCATCAGAGATATTTTTAATGGAGGACGGCATGGTCCTTCGAGGGAGAAGGACAAGGACAAAGAAAGGGTATTTCTTCCCTCCTTTCTCATTTTGAAGAACATTGGCCGCGTAGGCGTGGATCCGCAGGGACACTGTCACTACAGTTAGTATCATATAAATCCCCGTCCCGTATCCTACAATATGCATGTTCCCTGATGTCCCCACAGCTTCCGTCGTCACTAGACAAACAATGGATAAATTTAACCGACACAAGGCGAAAAGTCCAGGTGCAGTGTGAAACCGGGTGCAAAGGGTTTACATATGTACCTTTTACATATGTCATCAATCTCGTCAGTCTGTCCCTTTTTACCTTTCGGCAATCCGTGCAAGTCTCACTGTGAATGTACATATTTACTTTGTGCAAAGGGCTATTTACCTTTTATGCCACCAATATAGTGGTTATGTCCCTTTTCACCTTTCCATAATCCAGGCTATCTAATCTTGTCATTGTCCCACTGTCCCTGCAAATACTTGTGTACGATTGATGTGTGAGGGCAGAAGAATATGTATTGTAACGATCCATCATTTGTACACTAGTGCAGAGAATAAATACAGATACATTCATGCACACAAATATATCCGCCTTTCATATTGAAGAAAGGTAAGAGTACACTCTTAAAAACTGGGTGTTAATCGACATCGAACCGTGTGAATATGTGACTTGATCGAGCGTGATATTTATCAAATGATACTAAAATTAACGCCAGCCAGTGACAATTTGTCACCATGTGGACAAAATTTATCACCAATAGGTGGAGTCATATATGCAGATCGTTCAGTGACGATATGAACACCGGGTTTTTAAGAGAGTAAATATGTGTATGCAAAATGCATTACGTTCTGAAATATGTATGTACATATATACATACATACATACATACGTAAATGTAGGAATAAAATTAATATAAATAAGTGACATCACGACCCATGGAGGATAGAATAAAAGAACACGAACGAGATTTAACGAAGAAAAACACTAAATCTGCGATTGCAACGCACATAATTGAAAGCACTGGTCACAGGATTCAAATAGAGTCAGCAACTCTTATTCATCGGGAGGAGCGATATTTCCACAGGAAATTTAAGGAGGGATTACTAATCAGAAACGCCAAAAACAAAGTAAATCGCGATTTACGTATGGAAATAAATCCAATTTGGACATCTCTACTCCTGCCCCTAGCGCCAACGCTCATACGCACAACTACTATCCCGGTTACCCAGCGACCCCCATGACATCAACAACTTTCATCCTTTTATAAAAATATTATCTTTCATGAAATATTTTCTTGTACACTTTAACACCTGAAGAAGGGGCAGTTGAACCCTGAAAGCTCGTGAATAAATCACTTCAAAAATGTCATCCGTGCGATCCGAGCATTCTACCTTAAATTTTAAATAAATGAAAATTATTGATGACAACTTTTTTTGCACACACTTTACATAATTAGTTTATTTATTATTTTTAACAAACTTTGACTTGATTTGACAATCTGTCGTCGTGCACATGAAATTGTAGGATTAGAGGAGCTACAGACATGAACATTTTTAAACACATTTTTTTCGAATTTCAGCATCATACATATATATTCGTCGCCGTGTAAGACTTGTATTTGTGTAGAGCTACTTAATGTGTTAAATACATGCGTTGAAATTTAACTGGTACAACTCTCATATATAATTGGCAGATTAAGGCATCATTAGGCACTAAACTCCGATGTTGAATTTAATTTAGAGCAGATTAGATTAGTTACAATGGATTAATAAATAGGATTTATTAAACAACACGAAAATGAATAAGATCCGTTGAGAGGTTAAATTTAAGAGATAATTTTAAATTCGAAATTTTTATTTAATACAATTAAATATGACGACCGATTAGATATTTTTTGAAACTTTGGCTATTTAAAATTACACTAACTAAAATAATAATTATGAAATTGTCTGCCTAAAAATTACTTAGCTTATATATTTCTGTATTGTAATAACATAATATAATTTACAATTTGTTTGAATTGATAAAAAAACAATGGTAGTAGAATCTAAAACTAAGAAAGGGGTGGCTAATGTTACGAACGACGATGGCTATGAGGGGTGCGGAATAACCGTGGTCGACAGATTCGGGATGTTTTTCTGAAACTTTCCTTTATTTCCATAACTCTGACTACTTATCCTTAACTAAGACCATGGCTCAAGCCACACTTATCCTAAAGCTAAATCCATACTGAACACCTCTCTCTCTCTCTCTCTCTCTCTCGTACTCAGTATCCTAATAATAGAAGTGTCCCGAACCTGGCATGTCCCCTCATGTCGGATCGTTTGGCATAACACCCCCAACCTTTAAGGAAAAGTCGGGCCCCTGCCGACTTCTGCTTAAAATGGTTGGACTTCAAGTAAGCCAGAGGAACTCGGAAGAGTCTGTTCCTCGGACTTACCTTCATATTTTGTAATATTACTTACTTATGTATATGTATAAATATTTTATAATAATCAAATAACTCTCTAATTAGATTACGTAGTAATCACGGTGTAATAATCGCCTATTTATATACTTAGTTATACTAAACATTGATAATCGAACGGAAATCATTAATGATTATGCGGATTGTTGAAACTCATACTTTTCTGTTATAATTTCTTTACATCGGGTTGTGTATAACTGTATACAATTATTGTGTGGATATCAGTTTACTATAATTTTATAACGGTTCTGAAGCATAATCTGATCCGATTATTATTATAAAAAATTATTATTAACATTATGACCCATTGGAGTAGTTCAGGTAAACTTTCTTCGTGCTTTGGTTGTCACAAGTGTAGATGATGATGCAGAATAAGCAAAATGTCGCTCGAAATTTCACCTTTTCATGTTCATTATCAGTCAAGTTTCGTGATGTCATTCGTCTTAGTAGTGATGGGGATCCTTGAAGTTGATAAGCCCATGATGGGGTTATTCTCATCGACCCTGTCCCCACATAATATGGCTTCAGGTGAGTTAACTCGCCTCCACACTCCTTTGTGTCTCGGCTGATGGGGCGAAGGGGTTGAAAGGTGTGTGTAAATTCAACACATCCTTGACGAGGTCAAGAGATTGACGACCAGGAGAAATGTGACGATGTCTCCTATCGAAACGTCTCAGTGTCAACGACGGTGCGCTCAACTCTCATTATTATTTGTTGATAGCATCGGAGAAAGGTGAGATTATGACTATTTAAATTACAAGTTGTCGGAGTACATATTCAGATAATTGATATTAAATTACTGCATATTTATCTTCATTTGGGAAACCTAATTGGAATAGGTAATTGAATACATAATGGTCACATTATCGGTACAATGAAAACATTTTGCAATTTTGGATTTATCTCCCCCGACTTTAAATGAAGATATGAGAGTCACGACGCGTAGATCCGTGTGTATACTTGAAGCTAATACAGAATGAGGAAAAGATTGCAATTATTTCGTAAACTTAACGGAGAGTACCGAGAATCGTAGTCATATAGGTACCATATATGTGTGTATAACATGTCAGATAAAAATATGAAATAGATTATTGTTTCAACATAACTTGGTAACGGATAAAGTACAGGATTCCCTAGTGAAAATAGACATTGCAAGTTTAACCGGAAGACAATTTTCTAAACCGAATTAGGTAAGCTATTTAAAATAGTTGAATACGTAAGGGTCGAATTATTGTAATAATCATTGTAATAATAACAGGTTTGATAATTTCTTTTACATCTCCGCACCTTCTCCCCCAACTTTGACGAATACTGACGAGAAGACAAACACGTTTAAACTCTCACGAATTGGACCGTTTAAAAGTTCGCGATGTGATTCATGTCTTCCAAAATTCGGGATCAGTCGTTGCAATGATGCGTAGGGCAGCACGACGCGAATTCTGGTGCAGGGAAATTTACTTCTTATTTAGTATAAAATAAATCATAATGAAAAAGGTGCCCAATTCTATAAGGTACCGAAATTGATAACACATTAAAATCCCATTTGCTCAGGATAGATGATAAAAGAGAAAACTATTTCAAATTTTTTCAAATTTTTCAATTGTGTAAAATTATAACGAATTAAATACTTAGGGAATTTAATCAAAGTTCGTAAATTAAAATAAAATTGATATTTTATACGAGATACAATTCACAGTATGGTACATGCTTCCTTTTTGGAGTGATATTGTTACAAACTGCAAGTTATTTGCAACTAAATTATACAACTAAAAACTGCTAAATGCAACCAATTTTAAAGAAATACATTCAGAATTAAAATTAGAGAATAGCAAGGTAATAATAGTTATAAGTAAACTAAATCGTAACCATGTGCATTGTTTATAAAATTTCAAATACTCCAGACATTCATTATCACAATTTAAAAATATAACATGGACAAATTGATATGATTTGATACAATTTAATCCTGTGTGAATTATAATTATTATTATTTTTCTGGAGAGAGAGAGAGAGATTGAGCGAGTGGAGAGAGAAGAGAATATGCTGTAAAATTGAACAACAATGATTAAAACCAAATT